CCAGGCCCCCCCGGCCACGCCAGCGCAGCGGCGGGTCCCCGGCAGCGACGCCCCGCGGCCGCCGAGTTGTTTTCTTCCTTCGCCTCCCCTTCCCAAACCCGGCTCAACATCTCTACTGTACACGTCTGGGAAATGGGTGCGACGGCGGGGACCAAACCCTGCCCGGCACCGGCCGGCCGGAGTCGCTTTCTCCTTCCCGATCTCACGCGCGGCACAACCCCTGGGCACATGGCAAAGCCGATTCCCAAACGGTGCCGGCACCCGGCACGTCCCCACCCTGCAGCAAAGGGGCAGGAGCATCCCAGCTGGGATTTCAGAATGGATCCGCAAACACCCCTATACCCAACGGCACAACCCCACCTGCTCCGGAGGAGACCGGACCGCCCCTACCTTGGGTGAGGCGCGTGGGCCGCCGGAGCGGGACACCGTCGATGGCGCAGGCGTTGCCGCAGGGGTGCAGGGTGAGCGTCCCTCGCACGTTCTCGATGTAGCAGTGCTGGGGCGCCAGCCCAGGGCCCTGCAGGATGATGTCCCTCGCGGCTGTGCCAATGGTGGTCCTCCCTGCCGGCAGAGAGGGTGGCTCAGCGTCCCTGCCGCCGGCATGCCTGTGGGGACCCCCCCAGCAGCCGGCACTCACCTTCCTCCAGAGGCAGGAGCGTGATGGCGGTGCTGAGCCGGCCGCTGCCCAGGCTCACCAAGTGCGGCTTCTCCGTCTGCACCTTCAGGCCCTTGCCCGTGTCGATCAGGTCTAGGGGGCTGTTCTGCAGGAAGAGAGGGGAGGGATGCTCGCAGCTCCCGCGGCTGCAGCCCTCCTGGCTCGGGCCGCTCGGAAACAGCTGCGCACGCAGGCAGAGAGCGATGCCCAGGCACAGCCGCGTGCGGGCAGGACGGTCTGGCAGCGGGGCGCAGGAGCTGAGGGTTCCCTCCTGCCCGTGCTGCCCGCTCTGGGGAGCGGAGGTGAGCTGCCGTGGGAGAAGATCCCCAGGGCTTGGGCTGCATCTAAGAGGATCCGAGCTGCCAGCCACTTAGCTCAATTGGCTTTGCCACCGATCCCGTAATAGGATTGGGGCGAGGAGAAGCCGGGGGGCAGCGTCGGCCACCCATGGCGGGGCTGGCTGCGGAGGAGAAGGGCTCCCGGCCGGATCCCCGTGCTCCCGCAGGGCAGAGGTCCCGCGGCCCTGCACGCTCACCTGGATGATGGTCTGGACTCTGCGGGTTGGGCTGGCGGGGATCCTGCCGGGTGCCTCCATGGTGCTTGCTCGAAGACGCCGGGTGCTCTCGAGCACAGGCTGCTGCCAGGAGAAAGAGAGGACGTCAGCACAGGCGACCACGCCGGGCACGGCTCTGCCGTATTCCTCCCGCACATCCCTGCCGGCAGCCTGCACATCTGGCAGCCTGAGCACAAGCCTCGCAAACCCTACCCCACCCCGAAGTGGCATTTGCCAGCAAGCGGATTCCCCTCCTGAGCTCTGGTCTCCAGCCCAGCAGCAGCTGCCTGAAGCCAGCGAGCATCCCCGCCTGGCGAGGCACGAGCCTCCGTCCGCCCGGGGAAACCCACGTGCGCGCCAAGCGTCAGCACCCGACACAGCGCCAGAAGGAGCCGGCACGCTGGCTGGGCTTTGGGGAGGTGGTGTAGGAAACGCACGCCCTAAATGCTGAGAGCGATGGGCAGCTGGACCCCAATGGCTGCTGGGGGACAAGGACACGCGAGCACAGCATCCAGCTGTCCCCAGCAACATCTGCCTGCCCGTGCACAGCCCGCGGCACACCCCGGCACACCCGCGCGTGCCACGAGTGCCCGTCCCTGGCACCCGGGCACTGCACCTTTGCTCCCGCAGAGGCAGGCAGCAGCAGCGCCTTGGGGTACGCAAGCCCAGCTGAGCATGCCGCGTCCCTGCCCGCGCCCTGCCTGGCCGGCAGCGCCGCTGCCCATGGGAAGAGCCACCAGCTGCTGGTCTCCACGCGGGTAGGAGGCAGCTCAGAGAGGAACAATTTCCGTCACCCGGCACTCACGCCACCGTCACAGCCCGGGATGCTCCGGGGTTACTAAATTTACCGTCTGCTGCTCCCCACGTCCCTCCCTTCCGCCCGGGCCTGGCCGAATGTGGCTTAACCCTTCCCGGGTAGGCTGGGGCAGCTGGACCGGGAGTGCTTCCACCCCCGTTAGGGACCCCGGTCCCAGGGCAGCCGGGAGCACCGGGAGGAGCCCCAGGCTCGGCTCCCTGCAGCATCGCCCGTGGTCCCGCCAGCCCCGGCGTCCCACGGGGTGAGGGACCCCCCCAGACTTGGACAGCGCCGGACTTGGCTGCGGGGGCGAGCGGGCGGCTATTACACACTGCGGAAAAAATGAAACGCTGGAAAACACCAGGCGTGGGCTCCAGGGCTGGGACGGAGCCCGGGCAGCTCTGCACGACGCCACAGCCAGCTGCCCCGCTGCGTGGGCTCCGTGGGGACCGCGGCCGCCCCAAACGGATTGGGGACAGATCAGCTGAGACAGGGGGAGGAAGAGCTCACCGGCTGCCAGGGCGGGACCCCCCCCCTTTCCCTTACCTGCCACCCGGTGCTGGCCCGGGAGCCCAGCGGGACCCTCTGTGGCAGCGTGCCCATGTCCCCCAGGCGCAGGGGGGCCGCGCTTCCCAGCATCAGGAGACCCCACAGCCCGGCTGAGCCCCTGCCCCTTGCCTGCACCCAGGCCCTGCCGCAATGTCCAGGAAGGAGGAAAAGCCAGGAGGGGCCAGGCTGCTGCATAGGAAGGGAGCGGGGCCACGGCGGGATCCTGTGCCGGTGTTAACCCCTTCCCAGCGTGGCTGTGCCAGTGGGGCCGGGTGAGCGTCATGGGGGACCCCCAGCTCCACCGCCCGGGGGATCCATCCCTGCTCCTGTCCATCGCCTGCTGCCCCAACTCGCTCCACCAGCACCCCCTGCTCCACAGGCAGCCCTGCCTGCCCATGAGCCGGAGGGTGACTCTGGCGTCCAGCTGCTCCCCGATGCCCACCCTGCCCGCTGACAGTCGCCGGCCCCCCAGCATCACCCTCCGCCCTGGCAGAGCCCCTCACCTGGCTCCTCACTGCGCAGGAGACGCCTGCCCGTGGCGGGAGTGCGGCTGCCCCGGCCGGCGCCCCACCGCTGGGGCGGACAAGGCGGCCTTTCTTCTCCCGCCACCGCCTGCAGAACGCGCCGCTTGTTCCCGCCGTGGGAAGCGGCGAAGGCAGCGAATGCCAAGGGGTCGGGCTCGGTTACCGCCAAACAGCCCACGGCCCCCGTGCCCCCCGCACGCAGGGCTGCCCGCTCGGCCCCGGCCTCTCGGAGGACAAAAGCCCCTTTCTTCTCACGGCACAGGCAGAGGCCTCACCTGGGAGGACGCCCAGCCCCGCTGCTGCAGGGCCCCCGCCGACGCCGGGCAGGCTGTGCACGAACACGCTGCCCCACCACCACCGTACTCCCAGGGAGCCCCTGCACCCCACTGCCCGCAGGCTGTAACCTGCCTGCCTGCCTGCCCCGAGCCCACGCGGACGGGCAGGGGGGCTCGGGGGTCCGCTCCTGCCCGCCGAGACCCAGCCAGGCACGACATGGCCTGCCTTGCGCCCCGTCAGCGTGGCCGGGTGCCAGCAGCCGGCAGGCAGACCCCAGAGCCGCACCGTGTGCCGCTGGCCAGGGCGCAGCCAGGGCACCGCCAGCCGACCCATGCTTGCGAAGGGCCGTGCCGATGCACCGGAGCACAGCCTGGCACCCTGCCACGAGCAGGGCGCCCAAAGGTGCCCCAGCTGCCCCCTGCCTGGGATGCAGCATGCAAGGGGCAGGCACGCAGCATCCCACACATGGCCTTTCCTCCCCACCCGCAGCCGAGTGAGTCACTGGAGGAAGCCAGAGCAGCCGAGCTAACGGGTGCGCACCACGCAGCATCGCAGCCGCCGTCCAACTTGGCTGCCTGCTCGCTCCCCATCTGCTAATGCGCTTAGGGTGCGTTTACCCCTTCCCACACCCTCTGCCCCGGTAAACAACCGACCCTTCCGTCGGCGGCTGGGAAGGGGAAGCCCATCTCCGGCGCAAAGCCGGAGGGGAGCGAGGAGCCTGCTCCCGGCCGCTGCCTCCGAGCCTGGGGCTGCCCCACGCCGAGCAGGGGAGACGCAGGCAGCCCCATCCCACACGCGCGAGGGG